GAGGAGGGGCTGAATTTGCTGTTGATTCGTGCATGGCGACGAGTCTGCTGGATCTCTGGATACAACAACGTTGTAATGTGATTGTACACGTTATAAAGAGAGTAAAGAGTGACGCAATTTATAGTTTTAATTGTTACGTCACATCAGGTGTAGGACTCAAAGGACTCGGGTTAATCGAGAGGGAGACTCGTCACGACCGGCTCATTACTAGGATCCGGGTTAATGATCCGGATGAATCATGACTCGCCCATCTCTAGTACACTGGTATGCAAAACTCAAATTATCTTCTGTTGTAGTGGTTGGATTCTCCGCTCCTGCTGCTGCGGCCTTGGTTCAATTCCCGATCGGAGAACTACCTTCCGGCGGCAGTAGCTCTGTCTGTAGGGACCTGGCTGGAGAACCGAAGGGTCACCGGTTCAAGTCCTGGTGGGGCCTCAAAAACAGAGTGCGAACTAGTAGATAAAGAGGTGCCTGTTTGCCAACCAGAAACTGCAGAGGTGTCCTTGAGAAAGGCCCCTCATTACTCTGACACCTCTCCACTAATGTGTAGAGTTCCTGTTGGTGCATTTGTGTATGTCAGGCCTTTGTATATGATGTAATAACATACCAAAAAAACACCAGAGGGAAAAATGTAATATATACAAGTATGTTTTAGTGTTGTCTTAGTCTAAGTTGAATAGCTATGATGAAACAGATTTGTTGTTGTTTTATTGAGACCAATTGATCTGACGATGAGCTTGTATAACCCACCTTGTTTATTGTGTGTTACATACACACTTGGATAACTCTGCCTGGAACAGGCCTATTCATCACAGATCAGTGTAATCTCTTTATGCTGCAACCTCACATGTCAAAATCTCTGACAGCTGTCAAGGTGTGAGGGCCATGATGGACAACAGACCGATCCTCTGCATATGTGTGTGTGTGTGTGTGTGTGTGTGTGTGTGTGTGTGTGTGTGTGTGTGTGTGTGTGTGTGTGTGTGTGTGTGTGTGTGTGTGTGTGTGTGTGTGTGTGTGTGTGTGTGTGTGTGTGTGTGTGTGTGTGTGTGTGTGTGTGTGTGTGTGTGTGTGTGTGTGTGTGTGTGTGAGTGAGTGAGTGAGTGTGTGTTTGAGCAAAAAAACATCTTGCAGCTACTCCCATAGGGTTCGGCTGTAATTACGAATGTTCTCTTTCTCCACTTGCTTTGTAAATTCACACACCTCTATATCAAAGAGGGAACATGTTGGCTGCTATGAAGGGTTTCCCCACCTTTTACATTGAAAGGATGTGTCTTTGTTCCTTTATTGTCCTGGTGCTCTAATTGGAAAAACCAAGGATTAATTTTTCATGGAAACTGTGAATGAGTAACATTGGAACGCAGGCGCTTTGTCAGTGTGAAAAATATAATTTGGACTGAATCATCCATCTCTTTGTGACTAAAATTGGTTTGAGCTATTTTCAAAATGACAGGCAGAGATACACTTTCACGACTTGATTCACAGACAGATGGGGATCGGAGCGATTTCATCTAAAACAAAGTATAAAAAAAACAGGGCAGTATCATTTCCGCTTACATAGAAGAAGCTTAATGGAACGATATAAATGAACACAATTTCCATATAAATGTGGGAAAAAAACAGTTGAGGAAATTAAATTTTTCTTTAGACAGATGTTTCGGGGATAACAGTGATTTAAGGCAAACAAACACGGTGTGATGTGATGATCTCCTAATAAAAAAGCAACCAGGACATGCAAGCTTTACAAATGGCCGCAAAACAACAGCTGTAATGCGACGAGCAGACATTTGTTCCACTAATCACTGAGGGGATTGTCCAATACAGCCGAATGGAGGCTAAGCGAGTCTTATGTTATTAGACCGTGCTGCTGTGACTCCACAACACACACACACACACACACACACACACACACACACACACACACACACACACACACACACACACACACACACACACACACACACACACACACACACATACACACACACACACACACACACAGGCACACACGCGCACACACACACACACACACACACACACACACACACACACACACACACACACACACACACACACCTGCATACAGCCCAGAGAACCTCAGTCTTCTTATGTTGGCCACAGAGCAGCTAATGGAACTGTGACTTGTCAAAGTGCACTTAGTTTAACAGTGTGGGAAGAGGGAGTAGGGGACTGACTGCATACTGTATGTGGGGATTCAAACTGGCAACCATGAAGCAAAACTGTTAAGCTTGAGGCTGGGGTGCTTTTATTTTTCATGGCTGCAAAACACAACTTGTAAGCAAAGTGTATGGACCAATGTATGTGCAAATACACTTTGCATGCATACACATAGCCCGTAGGTTGAATTTCAATATTGCTTGCTTTTCCTGTGAGCTAAAAAAAAGGGCGAGTTAATAACAGAAGGAAGAGAGGAAAGATGGTGAAAAGGAACCCTGTGCTCTTACAGACACTTGAGTATGATGTTAATTATCCTGATGTGGGTCGAAATAAGCTTGTGCTGGCCCAGCGGGGGTAGGAGGAGATCATTAAAATCCTAGCTCAAACACACACACACACACACACACACACACACACACACACACACACACTGCGGCATTACAAAGACACGCATTTAGCCACAAACTAATGTACCTGCTCAGGCATAGGAACCATTTCACACGCAGCTATGGGTCATCGCGCATGCACGCGAGCGCAACTGTTAATGAAGTGCTGCTTAATGTGGGTCAGCACACTTTCATCCACAGTGATTAGCGTGAGATCGAGTCCTCATCAGAGGTGCAGCTCGTGCACAGGGTATTCACTGACTTCTTTGATATCCAAACAGGATTTGTCTCCTCGTACCCAAGGGTTTGCTTCAGCAGTCACCAAGGACCATGTGGGGAGATTGCAGAAGAGTTGCTCAACTTATTTCACCTAAAGAGAAGAAATTCGTTTTTGATAAAAAGAAATGATATCCACATGTGAAATCATTTCTAACACCTGAACTAAATCAATTAGCAATAGAGAAGAGAGGTTAGATAAAAGTTTGGCATAAGTCGATAGCTCAAAAGCATTTAAAGAAGACTATGATGCAACATTGTTGGTGGATATTTGTATTTGTTGCCTCTATTGTGACATGTTCACATGCTTTAATGTTCAAAAAGGTCTTTATTTTTCTCAGACTGCCTGTGCTGCCTCTTTCACCCTCTGTCTGAAACCAGAGCCCAGTCTGCTCTGATTGGTTAGCTGGCTGGCTCTGTTGTGATTGGTCAACCGCTTAGAGATGTATCACATACAATGTATTGACCAGTAGCCAATAGAAGCGCGAGTGTTACACGGTGATGTCATTAAGTTACTGAAGTAAACAGCTAGGCAGAAGTTGGCCTAATGGATACATGATTAAAAGCACTCTGGTAGCCGATTATAGCCATATAACTTCCTGCCCTGCAAACTTTTGTTTTGTGTCATGCCTCTGTCAAATACATTTTACTTTACTGCAAATGATGCATTCAGATAAACGTTTTTTCTCCTATTGACCCGGATAATGTCTGAAGAATGAGGTTCAGAGAGTGTTTCCCCAGCACACAACAGGATGTCACACAACATGACACAAGCTTTACCACTTAGTGGAAATACTCCATTTGCCTGATGTATATTAAACTGTAATGATGTACAGGCTTCCTAATTTCACACCCATGCTCAATCGGACATTACACGGACATTGAGTCCGTCCAGTCCGTATGATATTTAAATTTGCTTTCTCACATACAGCACTTCCGGGCTATATTTAGAAAATTTTGCAGTCTATGTGTGAAAGAGACTCATGCCAGTTCTGTCTCTCTCCTCCCAGCGAGCTGGCTTCTGTTGAGTGGTGTTTTGGAATGTATTACATTTTCCACTTGTTTTTTTTGCCAACATTACATTTGCCTAAACCCATGCACTCCTTACACTATAACGATCAGGATTTACTTGTTTTGAAAATATTTGTGTGTAATATTGTTTGACTACATTTGTTGTAATTTAATCCAGTATTATCTGTGTGGTCTCCCTTGCTTGTCTGACCTCTGATGAAAATAATCCTTGGTTCATCTGTCAGGACTATGTGTTGGGAACCAATGTTCTATTATTGAACCCTAACATTAAAGTCCTTCCAACAAAGCATTCGGAGACAAAAGGCGAGCAATCACAGACAGGGGCCCTTAAAGTGCTGGATATAGAAAGTCATCTAATATTCACTCTTTCCCTCACAGCCACTGATGAAGTCTAGCCGCTTGCTATGACTGCAATAAGGTTTTGCAGGATATGGAGGGGGGCCACGGTTCAGCTTGAATTCCCTTGCCCTTGGCTAGACAGAAATGACACTTTTTCCACTCACTCCATCCCCTCGCTTCTCCACACGTCTGTCTGCCATTGCCACTGCAGGAAGTATAACTCATCACTCTGTCAGTGGCAGAGCGAGGGGGATCACATTTTACGACCGTAACCTTTCACAATAAAATACAAGGCCACTGTCCATGGTGCTGAAATCACTCTCTGCAAACGTGGTGTTACACATTTAAGTGTTGCTGGAGATAAGTCTTAAGGTTAAATGCAACAACCCATACGACACCAAATGTTTGATTTGAAAGTGAACGAGGATACAAAATACGATTATGGCTTGCAACGATTGCGAAAACAACGTAATCGATAGTTTTTTATTATTATTATTACTTTTTTTTGTTTTTCAGTTGAATTATACTTAAAGTTCAATCAACTGTTAAAAACATACTGTTTACATTTCTCTCTCTCTCTCTCTCTCTCTCTCTCTCTCTCCCCCTCTCTCACTCTAAAAGGGGGAGGGAGTAAAGTCAAGCAGGGATAATCAGAGGAGTGGGTCACTATTGGAGGATATAATTGTCGGGAAAACAAGGGAAGAAAGGGGGAAATTAATCAAGACAAATAACACTACCAAAGGAGGAGGATAAAAGTATATATCGACCACCATCAGCGCTGTCGTCCACATTGGCAGTCAGATTGGTGAGCAGCTTCCTCGGGATCCCAGCGTCCAATTAGAATGGACGAGCTCAGCCAGTGTGGATACTAAACCTCTGCCCAGTCAGAAACGAGTGGAAAGAAACGCGAGCGATAGGAGGCAAACAATGCTCCTGCTCATCTATCTGCACTGATTTGAACTGGGATTTATCCTTTTCCTTTTTTCCTTTAAAAATCGGTATTCCAAGTGAGAAGACCACTGCCGGGATCAAGTCCACGCAAGCAGGGAAACGGTAGGACGCAGTTTTGTGTTTTTGTGGGGACAGTGCGCGCTTGGGATAGAGGTTTTCAATGTTGTTTGTTAGAGAATCACATTTCATACGGTTTAATCCACATGAAGGAAAATTGTTTTTGTTGCTGTGTATTGAAGTATGGAACTGTCTGCGGTGTACTTTGGGAGATTAGCGCGTGAGAGTGGAACAAAAGGTCTGGTGTGTTTTGTGCGTAGGATTGTATCAAGAAGTAAAAGTTAAATTAAACATAATTTTGTTTACACTAAGGTTCCCTTTTAGGCATCCAAACCCCAAATTGAGTCATCGTTGCTCCTGAGAACATCCCAATTTATTTATTTGGGTGAATATGTTTTTATAGTTTCAAATAAAATGTAGACTGCAGTCATATCTGGAATTCGGGCTGTAAATAAAGATTGCTATCATTATTAATACATCTAGCCATTCATGTTCTGGATCAATCGATTTGTCCATACAATTCTCAAAGTCCAATGTGACGTCTTTAAATGTCTGGTTCTGTTAGTCCAAAACACAAAGATTTCACTTTAGTATGATATGAAAACAGAAAAAAGCTGAAAATCTCGATATTTGAGAAGCTGCAAAACTGCTATGTCTGCTATTTCTGAATGAAAAAATGCCCATTAATCAATTGTCATATTAAGTTCGTGATTTTGTGAGAGTTGATCGACTAATCGATTAGTCCAGGTGTTGTTGAAGCAAATAGGCCAATATTATTATTTTGTAAATGAGGCTACCTTTGTTGTCATTGATGGGGTGGACACAATAATAGAAACACATCTCAATGCATAACAAAAGCAACAACAGCAACAGCTGAAAACCCAAATTAAGACTTAATGTTACAGTTCTGCTAATGGTAGAATATCATGCTGTCCAATATATGACTCAATATGAAAATTAGCATATTGTATTTAAATCATATTGTGATGAGGTCATATCAAAACATCTTGATAAACTCAAAAACATAGAATGCAGTCCAGCACAACCCATAATGACACCAACCTCAATGCTCAAACATATGACTATAATAACATCTTTATTGGCAGTGTCAAGAAAAACTGAGCATAATATAAATTGGCCTACCGCCGTACGTTGTAGGGCAGAATAGTTGTGTTGGATTTCATTAGACTGCACAGGTGTACCTAATACAATGGATTGTGTTTGTGTAGATGTGCAATAGTACACAATTCAACAACTATAGCATCAAGTTGAATCGAAATCTCTTTAAAATACCACAAGCTAAATATTGACCCATTTGTAATGTTGGTCTCATAGCAGTGCTGTTGTTTGGGACTGCTTTTGTTTTGGCAGGATGTATCAAATATAGCGCTGCAAAGATTCATTGATTAGATACATCTGCAGTATATATGATAATCGATTAAACGGTTTAAGTCATTTTTTACAAAAAAGAGGCGAGATTCTCTGATTTCATCTACTAAAATGTGAATATCTTGTGTTTTTTGTACTACTTTTAAACAGTAAACTAAATATCTTTCAGAAAACAAAAAAACACAATTGAGGCTTTTGGAAACACTGATCCACATTTTATCATCTTCTTAAAGTTTACAGACCAAAATACAGTTCAAGTATTCATATTTCAAATTAAACTAATCAGTTAAATACAAGATGAATTGATAAAGAAAATAACTGTTATTTGCATTCCCAATCAAACTGGCTACTGAGCCACTATCCCATAATATACACTCACTAACTAATTGGTCTTGCTGCTCCTCTGATAAACGTAGATGAAGAAAAAGAGATTTGAAATGAAGGCAGCAGTGAGCCGTTACTTAAGATTGTCTATAGATTTTCCCATCATGCCGCAGTACTAAAACACTTAAACAGCTGTCTTAATCTTAGAATACAATTTGAAGATAAACTACAAGTAATTTCACTGCAGAGCCATTGTGTATTCAAATCACACAGGAATATTAAAGTGATACTGTTGTGATGGAGGGAAAGAATGAAGCATTATAAGATCAATGCTGAGCACAGCACACACCCGCTAAGAATCTGGCAGAAGCATCACTGTGACACTATGGGAGATGCCAGGAAAAAAACAGTCTGATTAGGACACTAGTGGCTCACTGTTGCATGCTACACAGGAAGACCGTCATGTTCCCTAATTCTGACTTCTGAGTGATCCAGATCTTCCTTAAAGTCAACTTTTAAAATCACATCTCTGGTTAATTGCTATTCTCTACATGAAGCTGTGTGGAGCCAAACAGCGCGCCCCGACATAAAACCTCGTTTGTTTAACTCCGGGGGTGTGGGGGACCTTTCTTGTGTGGACAGATCCGTACGGACAAGTTGACTACTTATGCCTGCAGAGATCTTTAATTTTTCCTTGGTTACTGTCTGCCAGACAATGAAGACTGAAATCTCTTTAAGCTGTAATTGTACCGCACAAGCAATTCTGCACTTGGTTTAGAACGGTATGGGCAGGTGGGGAAGATCAGCTGAAATATAGGGAGAAAAACAGATTACTTTTACAATTTCATTATTTTCCTGTCTATATGCCAACCACAGTACAAGCGAGTGTTATTTGACATCCGTGGGACATGCATCACTTGCAGATGCGGTCACTTCCATGGCAACAAAGGAACACCATTTGCGAGGATTCAATGCACACCCAATATTCCTGAAAAGCAATATGGCGTGGTGATAAGCGATCTTTATCGTAACATTGCATAATTCAATTTTTGGACAAACACAGTGCGCAACACAATTTCATTGCTGCTTGAGTAATACCTGCACTTTCAACAGAGCTGCCATAAAAGAAGTTTTATGTATAATTCAGATGCACCCATCTGGAACATCGGGGAAACACAATACTGCAACAGCGTTAAAGTAAACTAAATCAAATCAAGCGCATTCATGTGGACACTCTTATTAGAATTGGGGATAGTATTAAAATGGAAGTCATTGTTTTTCTTTTCAATAGAAAGAGGGTGTGATTCCCCTCCATCCATTACAATGTGAAACATAACAACTCAGCAACAATCGTGTGTGTGTGTGTGTGTGTGTGTGTGTCTTTGGCTTCCCTCACACACTCCCCCAGTCAGAGACATAGGTGAACAGAATTGGGGTTCAATCATCCATCCATCCATCCATCTTCTCTCGCTTATCCGTGGTCGGGTCGCGGGGGTAGCAGTTCCAGCAAAGAGCCCCAAACTTTCCTTTCCCTGGCCACATCAACCAGCTCTGACTGGGGGATCCCAAGGCGCTCCCAGGCCAGCGAAGAGATATAATCCCTCCACCTGGTCCTAGGTCTACCCCTTGGTCTCTTCCCAGCTGGACGTGCCTGGAACACCTCCCTAGGGAGGCACCCAGGTGGCATCCTAACTAGGTGCCCAAACCACCTCAACTGGCTCCATTCGACGCGAAGGAGGAGCGGCTCAACTCCGAGTCCCTCCCTGATGACTGAACTTCTCACCTTATCCTTAAGGGAGACGCCAGCCACCCTGCGGAGAAAACCCATCTCGGCCGCTTGTATCCGCGATCTCGTTCTTTCGGTCACGGTTCAATCAGATTGATGAAAATGGAGCATATGAAATAAATATAAAAAAATCAAACCATTTATTCTGCTCTGGTATAATCCACTGACTCATAAATCGTGCAGCCTGTCAGATGAGGCTACTGTGAGTGAAATTGCTCTGATCGATTGCATCAACCAACCTTGACAATTAGAACGGACGGTGAGCCAGAGAAACAAAGAGAGACTACAGAAAAACACAGGAGTTAGTGTCAGAGAGGTGATGTTGACTCAGGGAATCTTTAGAAATGTGAAGAACAGGAAACAGACAGGGCAAGACTTCTTTATGAAACATTCAATTGCAAAATGCCTGCATTCAATGACTGACAGAAAAAACACACACACAGTCAGACCATGTTTCCTTTATTTGGTTTTCTAAAAAGAGTCACAATCATCACTTCGGGGAATACACTCTTTGTGCTTTCCTGCTAGCAATATAGCTTTCGTAACTGTACAGGAGTAGCTTAGTTTAGGTTATTTGAGTTTAGCATAAAGACCGGAAACAATAAAAAAAACAGTTAGTTAAGTAAAGGTAACTTACTAAGATATTTGAAATATTACACTTTTTTTATCCTCGTACTAACGTTGGATCAATACTTTTCTAAATTCTTCCCATTTACTTCTAGTATTCTGAGCTTTCCCTGCTTTTGGGTAATTTTTTAACAAATATGTCCATTAAACAATATTAAATATCTCGGGTCGGTGTCCCTGCTGGAATATAAAATGTATTTATGCAGAACTGCTTTTTTTAATACCTAATGCATCCGTTTGAGATGTTTTTAACACACAAGTTACTTCTAGGTGAATTCCTGTTACGGTGCGTGTAAAAGGTAGGACCCAAATGCAGTATTAAAGGATAAGCGGGTTTTAAGGGATAACAAAAAGCGAGCTTTATTTAACAAAAGCCGATGACAAAAGAAAACAAGAAACAAACTTAACATTACCAACTCAGGGGAGCACGAGTAAAGATTCCAGGATCAAAACTTCAGGGACAAACATGGAACGTGACGTGACGTGAAGGGAAAGACTAACAATGAACCGACAGGGGAACACAGGGAAAGACAAGACTAAATACAGAGAGGGGTAATCACGGGACAAGAAACAGCTGGGCAGGGGAGGTAGAAACACAAGGGCAACAGGTGAACACAATTAGACAATCAGACACAGGAGGAAAAACACAGGAAGGATGACAAGACACAGGGAGAACAGAATTACAAAATAACACCCAAAACAAGACAGACAAAACTAAAAACGTGACAAAACATTAGGATCGTGACTATTCCGAGAAAGAAAATGCAGGATGCTTTGTTCAACCGTCCACCTCACGACACAACAAGACTCCAGGAAGTCACCGTCGGATAATAGCCCTCTGACTTTTTCACATGTTTTTTTATTGTTCACTGATTATACAAACAATATATGATGAGTAATGCTAAGCTAACTCAACCTG